ACGAGACACAGCAACACAGCAACAGTTTCCTGGTGTAAAGTTGTGGTTTTAATGTTCTCAGATGAAGTTTGTATATTTTTTGTTGGTCAGTGTGAAGAACTGGCTGAGTGAACTGGTCCATCTGACCTGCTACAGGATCTGTGCCAGAGGGCTGTCAGCCACCATCCACTACCACAACAGGTATGTTATCCACTACCACAACAGGTAGGTTACTGTTTATGATCAGGAGCCGCTAACACCTCGTCCTCTCGTCCCCACAGAGAAAACAAACCTCAGAAAGGAGGAATCTGCGTTGCCAACCACACCACTCCCATCGACGTGGTGATTCTGGCCAACGACGGTTGCTACGCCATGGTGAGTGTCGTCAACAGGTGCGTCTCTCTCGCCACGTGTTTTGATGTGATGTCACCACTCAGCGCTTGCTGTCGTCCACAGGTGGGTCAGGTCCACGGCGGGCTGATGGGGGTCATGCAGAGGTCGATGGTGAGGTCGTGTCCTCACGTTTGGTTCGAGAGGTCAGAGATGAAGGACCGACACGCTGTGACCAACAGGTGAGACAGGAAGTAGACCTTTCTTACAGCGGCCTTTTTGACATGAAACAGTAGGGTAAACACAGTAACGAAGGCTCTGTTCCATTTAGTGTAGCAGAACCTTTCCAGAGAGCTGCCATGCACAACAGCAGCACCCGGACTCTGTTTGAACATGAAATAAATAAATAAAGATATTACCTGAAGTTTTACATAGTTATACAGTAAATATAACTAACTCTCCTACTGTAAATGTAACATATGAGTGTGTTGGGTGTTTTTTGCTGGTTTTTGGACAGTCAGACACAAATAAGCCGAGTCAGAGTTGATCAGCACATTAAAAAATGAGGTTTGAGGAATTTAGAGGAACTTACAGGACTTCTGCTTTAATCCAGTGACCTGGTTGTTTTCTTACTTCTGTACAGGGAGAGTTTGTGGATCTTTAAAATATTGACAGATATCATTTTATATGAGGTATAATTGTTAAGGTGTACATCGAAAGTTGAAGTTAACATGATGCTTCAGAGAGTTAAAAAGAGGATAAATAGCTTTATTTTGCACAAAGTCAATTGTTACCTGGAAATCGTCTCTCAAAATTGTCCAAATGTTGACCCAAAGAGACAAGAACGTGATTTTTTCTCAGTGTGATCAGTGGGTGTTGGTTAGTTTGTATTAAAGTTCAGGGTAGCAGAGACATTTAGAAACAACTGCCTGTGCACGAACAGTATTTAATTCACTCTCAGTCTTCACATTAAAAAGTTAAAGGTTATATATACACTTTTATACAATCACTGCCACTGGATGTCGCACTAGAGCACCAGCGTCTCAAACCAAAACAATGGGCGCTACGACCCACCAGACTCCATTGGAAAAAACCTGTATTTTTACCTCACAGATCATAAAACACATTTCAAGCAGGATAGAAACCTGGTGAATGAGACTCAGTGCAGGTTTCAGTGGAGGATCCAGAGTTCAGTTGTGCTTGAACTGAAACAATCTACTGACAGTCTGTTCCTCTGTCTGCAGGCTGAAAGCTCACATCGCAGCCAAGACCAAACTTCCCATCCTGATATTTCCTGAAGGTCAGAGTCTGCTGCTGTAGCTCGTGATGTGAGGATGATGATGTTGGTTTTATGGTTGGATAACTTCTGCCTGTGTGTCTGTTTCTAACAGGAACCTGCATCAACAACACCTCAGTCATGATGTTCAAGAAGGGAAGCTTTGAAATTGGAGGGACCATATACCCGGTCACAATCAAGGTAAAACCAGTGGAAACCAGTTAAACCTTTAGAGGAGCTGTAAAGGATTAAACAACCAGCCTGAGACCACCTGAAATGGAGAGTCTTTAAAGCAGACTGTGGCGTCTTGTTCAGGTCTCAGTTTAATCTCAACAACACTTTTATCTGATTAAATAAAGGAAAATTAAATGAAAAATCACAAGATTTTATTAACCACTGCCTGAGTTTGACCAAAAAAGGGACCAGTACCCTAATTCAGAACAACTTTAATTCTTTGCTGTTTTTATTAGTAAGGCATGTTTAATCGAGGAAGGATTACAAGAGATTATAATCTGTTGTATTACAAACTAATAATACAACAGATTATATCAACATAACTGAACAGAATATACTACACCATCCCTCCCACCCTTCCTTCTGCTCAGTAAGTAGTAAACAACAATATATGATTTTGCTGTTTCTAATTCATTTTAACAAGCGTTAATCTGCATTAGTTACACAGTTGTTTAGGAGAGCCCTTCAGCACTGCTGTACGCAGGGTTTTAGAAATACAGAGGTCCAAAAACTGAACTTGTAAACGAGGTTTGGGGACAACAAGATAAAGTTATTTTTAGGCATACTCACCAGAGGTGACAGTAGTAAAGGAACTCAAGGACAAAAATCAGAAGTACTGACCCGTTTCAGGCACTGCTAGTACACTACAGGAAGTGACCATAAAAGGATTAACTCGCTCTCTCTCTGTGTCTCAGTACGACCCTCAGTTCGGTGATGCTTTCTGGAACAGCAGTAAATACAACATGGTCAGTTATCTGCTCCGGATGATGACCAGCTGGGCCATCGTGGTCAATGTGTGGTACCTCCCTCCAATGACCATACAGGTACAACTCAAACAGCTCCTCCTCTCAGCAGGAACAGAAACTTTCATTACACACAGTTTGAAGCTGATCTGATTTAAATTATTAGATATAACTGAAATATTAAAGGGCCCTTTTCTCTCAATATGTATGTGTTTTTCTTTATCTATTTCACAGTAAATTTATAATTAATTAAAGCAGACAGAATATTATCAGCTGACTGGAAGTCAAATAAAAAAACATGTTGTGGTTTAACACTACTGTGACCAAAGAAGTGAGACTAAAGTTGGACCATAGAGAGCTTCTCTGCAGAGTAAACCACATTTTAGATATGTATATTTATATCACTCAGAGGAGGCAGTGTGTAAAGCTAACTGAAACTTCAAACAGGGTCGAGTCTCCCTCTCTCATTTTTTTCGTCTCGTTACGTCTGCATTTTAACATAATTATAGACTATTATCATTACAACACTTATAAGAAAAACACACAGATTATAGTTTTATACAGCCGGCCTCTGTCTCTTAGACAATTAATTTATATATTAAATATAACTTAATATTGTTTCTAGAGCAGCAAAGTCACTATATAAACTCAACAATACCTCACTGGAAACAAATCTAAAATAAGTAAAATAATGTAATATTTTGGCTCCAATATTCTTACACTAATTGTCTTTCAAAGACAGTAAAGATTTCCCTGACTCCATTTGACAATAATACCTAAGTTACAGAAGTCAGGATGGATACAGGACAGAAGTCAGTGCTGTAGATACAGGGCATAGGTCTGTACTGTCTATTATTATTACTAACTTGATTTCATACGTTTTAGTGCCTCTTTTTCTTCTTCTGCACTTTGTTTGGACGGTTAGAACAGTATTCTGTGTACTCTGAGTACTCTGTCCTCTGTATACTCTGAATACTCTGAGTACTCTGAGTACTTTGAGTACTCTGAGTAATCTGTACTCTGTGTTGTGAGCAGGACGGTGAGGATGCGGCTCAGTTTGCGAACAGAGTGAAATCTGCCATCGCTCAACAGGGAGGACTGCTGGACCTGGCATGGTGAGGATCATCCACCAAATACTCAGATTATTTCACTCATTGTCAGCAAGTACTGTAATTATAGAGTATCTGTAGTTCTGAGGTACTTTACTGGAGTATTTATTACTTCCACTTAATTTCAGAGAGAAATATTTTTCATAACTCTCAGTTCACTTATATTTCCTCACATGTATCTGCCATCTAGTTTGTGTTTTACAGATTATTTCTTGGTGATTAAAGTTTACAACGGTTGTTTGCCTGAATATATATATAATAATAATAATAATAATAATAATAATAATAATAACAACAAGAGTGATACTTTACTGCTCCTCCTCGTTGTTGTCTGTGTTTCAGGGACGGAGGACTAAAAAGAGGAAAAGTGAAGGATTCGTATAAAGAAGAGCAGCAGAAGATGTACAGCAGCATCATCGTCGGACAGAACGGCTCCAGCACAGAGGAGCAGTGATACTGGTGATACTGGTGATACTGGTGATACTGGTGACACTGGACAATCCCTCCCAGTGACCTGGAACTGGATGAACTTTCCAGAGTCGTCTTAGAACTTGTTTTAGAGTCTTATTTTACAGTTTTTAAACTGTGACACCAAAGTTCAAATTAGCTCTTATTTCGAAGTTCTGTGTGTGTAGGAGTGTATTTCCACCAGCAGGTGGCAGCGAATGACAACACATAATCTCCTTCATCCATTTCTTCTTCTCCTCCTCCTCCTTCTCTTCCTGACAGTCACTGAAGACTGGAAACTCTTTCTTTCTCTTTGGGAACACTTTTTATGTTTGTTTATATTTTTTAAACCATATTTGTTGTTGCGAGCTGATCAGAAGTAAACATTATTGATTGTAAACATTAATTTTCAGACAGCATTATGGAAAGTATCCCTGCAGAGATTTAGTCATAATATCACTATCACTCTCCACCAGACTCAGAGAAAAACACTCATTTTAGCTTATTATTTTTTAGCAGTTTTTAAACTCTCACACCAAAGTTCAAATCACGCTTTTATTTTGAAGTTTGTGTGTGTGTAGGAGTGTATTTCCACCAGCAGGAGGCAGCGAATGACAAGATAATTATCCTCTTCATCTAAATCTCCTCCTCCTCCTCCTCCTGACTGCCAGTAAAGACTGGAAACTCTTTTTCTTTCTTTCTTTCTTTCTTTCTTTCTTTCTTTCTTTCTTTCTTTCTTTCTGCGAGAACGTCTTAAATGTTTGAACTGTTTATATTTTTTAAACCATGTTTGTTGTTGTTGCTGCTCAAAAACAAATATTGATTGTAAAGATGAATCTTCATACACATTTATATTCACTGCACCTGTGTTTGTGTTCTTGTTTGTGTTATTGTTTGTTTTGATGCAAAATAACATGACAGACAGTCTGTGTATGAGGTGGTGTATGTTGTATATATATATATATCTATATTTATTATTATTATTTCTATTTTTATCTTTAATTCTTTTTCACATTAAGTTCCACATAATAAAAACATTGTTTTATTCTTAACTTTGCTCACAGTGAAAAATAATTAAAAATAAAAACAATGAAATGAAAATAGAAAGTAAATATTAGCATTAATGTAAAAAACAAGAAACAAAAGAGGAGCAAAACATGAAGAAAGAATATAAATATCCATAAATAATAAATGACTTTTTAAAGTTATAAAGCAGTGGTTTCCAACCTGTGGGTCGAGACCCCCATGAGCGGTCGCAGGATGTATCTGAGGGGACGCCACGTTAATAAGACGAAGCAGAAAGATGGAGGTCACTTGTTCAAACGTTCCTTTATTCTGCATAAAGTCATTTTATTTCTAAAACCTCGACCACAAGAACTCGTGGCAGCGTTTGTCCTCCAGCTGTTCTCTGACTCCTCAAACGAAGTCTCAATATCCACCCTGCTGTTATCACTGACCTCCGCAGGGCTCAGTGCAAGTACAGGACTACAACTAATGATTTTTATCTCTAATGAATCTTCTAGGCCACCTCAGACAGTATCAGACCCAGTTCAACCATTGTGACCGACGTTAAAATCCAGCAGCGCAGGTCGACCCTGTTCAGTTGTAGTTTACACAGGATGCAGCTTTATTCCTAATGAGAACATTATTTATTGTGGACTGAGCCTGACCAGAACCGGTCTGGTGGAGAAGGGTCCTCCTGGTCCACATTTCTCTTCCCTATAGTTCCTGTTTGAGCCATCTGACCTCCGCCCAGAATCTAACCGTCACAGTTTAACTCCATACTTATCATGGATGTATGTAGGCAGGAATGTGATTACGTAGCAGGCTGATATTGAAACAAAATACTACTACCAATAATAATAATAATAACAACAACAATAATAACAATAATAATAATAACAATAATGTTTATAACTTTTTTATAAAGCACCTTTTAAAAACACTTCACAAAGTGCAAGATGATATCTGTGATACACAAAATGTAATTAAATATAGAAATAAAAATAATAAACACAAATAAAAATATAAAATAATAAGAGCAGAATAAGAGCCATAAAAATAAAAATAAATACATAAATAAAATAAAATAGAATAAAGATGAGAACACATGAAGGCAGGTCTATAAAAACGGGTCTTCAGAAGTGATTTACAAGAAGTCACTGATATTGTAAACTTTATCTTGGTAGTATTACAGAAAACTTTAATTACATTTCAGTGACCTCAAAATATTTCCGGGTCCACCTGGTAGAGCTGCAGCCTCTCGTACCGTACGCTGACCGTGGGTTCGACCCTGACTCTCTGACCCTTCTCATCCTCTCTCTCTCCTCTTTCTGTCACTCTACAGCTGTCTCTATCCATCAAAGACAATAAAACCCCAAAATATATAATAATAAATAAACAATAATCCACCACTAGAGGGAGTTTGCGTACCACCAGTGGTACACGTACCGTAGTTTGGGAACCAGAGTTCGAGCCTATAAAACGTCAATAAATAGTTTAAATTACTTTTCCTCCAGTTGAAACGAGCAGTCGTCAGTAACGCTGAGGGAGAATAATTCGATTTTAGTGTTTTCATTTGAGGATCCAGAATCTCGTTTTCAGTGAAAAACATAAATTTAAACAAAAATAAATACATTAATAATACTGATGATAATGAAATGAAATCATCATCACACACACACACACACACACACAATGAATCATAAACAGGAATAAATGTTGAGTCATGAAACAGATCTGAGTTACAGACAAACAGATTTATAAAGATAAATAAAGTTTGTGACAATAAAACGTTTTCAACTCGTTCTGAATAAAAGAAAAAAGAAAACAGTCAGTTATTATATTTTATTCAGATTCCTATGAATGAATGAATGAATGAATGAATGAAGATCAGGAGATTATTCAGACACATTAACAAACAACAAAACAAGCATGTTAACTGTCTGACAACATAACACATAAACAACAAACATCCACAAATAACAACACAACAACATCAACAACAGGAATATTAATAACACCAAATCATACAGTAATGCCATCTGCTGTACGTCCCGATCAGTTCAATAATCAATAATCACAGTCTCTCTCTTCAATCTCGTTTTATTCAGAAACATCAGAAAGGTTCCATTAAAGCTCTCAATACTTTTAATTATGATATAAAGGACAATATAACTGAAATAACAATGAGCAATAAATAAATCATGAATAACTAAATTATGAATGATAATTAAAAATAAAACAAAGAGCAGCCAATGAAAATGTCTCCTCGAGTTCAATGAAAAGACAAACCCACAGATATTATTCTTCATTTTAATCAATAACAGCAAATAAAAGCTGTTTTCTCTCCATGAATATCAGGAAAAGTTGAATCCTTCATTGATCTAAAAACATCCACTGAAACCTCAAAATACAAATACAGAGGACTGAATTTCAAAATAAAACGTTCATTAGAGTAGAGCTTTGATCGGACAGTTGCATGCACTATTATTAAAATATTACATATATATATATTTAATGTTATTTTTAAACCAACCTACGACACCGATTGGACCCGAACCCAACGGATCATATCAGGCCCAACCGGAGGTATGACCCCTGATTACAGCAGTGTTACTCAGGTACTTTGGAGGATTTCAGTGACGACTAGACTTTACAAATATTAAAGCTCCAGTGTGAAACATTATTATAATATCTATAGGTGTGTTTTCATTATTGTTTAATCAGCTGATAATAACAATCATTGTGTTTCCGTTACCTTAGAATGAGACGTTTGTATCTACAGAGGCAGCGGGATGTCTTCTGGCGGAGTCCGCCATGTTTCTACAGGAGCCCAGAACGGACAAACCAACACCGGATCCAGAGAGGACTCTTCACGAGTTTCATGGCTTCTGTAGTTTCTCCTTCGTGTGGCACTAAATCCTACATAATAATTACACAATAATTACACAATGAGTTCAATAAAAAAAAGTAAATGTACATTTGATAAAAAAACATTTTATATTCAATATTCCTGTTTTCAATGTGATTGTTAACTCAGTTTGACAAAGATCCTCAACTTAAATTATAAGTTCAACTAATCAACAACACATTGCAACTTCAATGCCGTCTTTGTGTTACTACAACATTCTTCTTATTATTATTATTAATAAAACATTGCTACTGAAATGAAGCATTGATGGTGTTTTCTTCCATAAATGTTTGGGTTGGTCAGCAGGTAGGTCAAATATTTCAAACAGGGTAAATTAATAATAACCGCTGTGTTATTAAATAATTAAATTAAATCATCAAAGATTTTATAAACAGCAACAAGAAACATTTGCAGAGGTCAGAATTTGAACTGACGTCGAGTAAAAATTAAACTGATTGTAATTATTTAATTTTACAGTAAATTACTGTAATTATTGATTACGACTTTACACTAAATCTTCGTTTATATGAGACAAAGTGACGACTGTGATTCTTCATCAGTTTAATGTTTCTGATCATATAATAATAATAATAATAATAATAATAATAATAATTTACTGTAAAATACAGTAAGACAGTTAATCTTACTGTATTTTACAGTAAACTATTATTATTATTATTATTATTATTATTATGATATAATAATGTTATAATAATATAATTATATTATTATTATATTTCTGTCTGTTTGATTTTCTGTCTAAATATTCACAAAATACATAAATTCAGTTTCAGTATATTAATAAAATTATTTAATTCAAAGTGTTTCTGACACTATCTTTTGGTAACTTCTGCTCATAAAACCCAACAGGTTTCATCATCTTCATCATCTTCATCGTCTTCCTCCTTTTATAAAACAAACATTTCACTTCTCGTCACATTTAATTCATGACGTCTGATATTTTATTGAAGAGATTCTTATTTCAACTTCTTTTCTGTGTTTTTCTCTGAAGTTGAAGCAGTTTTATTTCAGATTTTATAGTTTTATTTAATAATATATTTTAATTCATAAAACAAACTATAATATCTGGAATGTTTCCCCTTTTTATAAGTTTTAGTTTAATTTATATGCAACAAACAATCTTTACAGAATTATGACTTTATATTATATATATTATATACAGTATATTATACCTGTATTCATGCACATAAATATTGAACATTATTATCAATGTTTAACCTTTTCAATGCTTTAAAGTCTCCTCTCCTGAACTGTAATCTCTCATCTCATAAATCTCATCTCATAAATCTGACATTTTATAGAAAACCTGAAGAATCAATAACATTGAACAAAAAGGGTCCAGAAAGATCATATCATATATAATAACATACAAAAATCAGTCAAAGATCCAGTCACCAGCTCAGATAGCGCCGTTGTTTGTGCATTTATTCGTAATGAAAGCAACTGTTAGCCGCAGCGCTAACACGCTGTAATATGACTTTCAGTGTGATTGTTCAGGTGGGGCGAGTGTGTCCTTGATAATAAAAATAAAAGCTGGTCGTCCTCCGGCGAGAGCGGAGAGCGGCTGCACAGCTGAGTCGAGGCGGGCCGTGTTTACTGTGACGGCGCTTTAATAAAGAAAGCAGCGACTGTGAAATAGCAGCGAGTTATTCTTCCACACACAGCCGAGCTTACATCTCGCAGCCTCCCCGGCTCTCACACCGCGGCTCCCGCCCCAAATAACAATCCCACGACTCAAATTGCTTGAACAGAAATGTTTGTTCTCCCCTAACAAGATTGTGAATTATTAATAGGATCTAAAGCCGATTCTATAACCCGATTGTTGAGGTGGGATTCTTGGCGAGCGATGCTCCACCACACCATTTACTGTGATGTATGTGTCTGCACATCTTTATATCCAATTTAATGTGATTCGGATAGATTTCAGAGGGACATCATAAAAGGCATTGGAGTGACCCTGACTGCAGACTCCATACAACCACCCCGTATGTCCCAATAT